TCTTTCCCTCCACAGAGGTATGCAACTCTAGCAAGAAACCTTTTTGCCTGTCCCCACTCAAATGTGAAGCTCCTCCATATGGCAAAAGCTCTTTTGCAGTAGTTGCCCCCTTTCAGGGATGCTTTCTCTTTTCTATCCTTTTTTCCTTCCTCTCTCTTTTTCTTTTATATTATTATTATTATTATTATTATTATTATTATTATTATTATTATTATTATTATATAAGGTGTACTTGTAGTGAAAATAGAGCCTGTACAAATACAAATGTACTTTAAGTTTAAACGTAAGTTGTACCATGTAACAAGGTTAGCAGGGGCAGGAATCTCTGTATGGAGCTGGTCCCTGAATGAATCATTCGTTGATTGTGCAACACAGTAGCTGGTCTGGATAAACAAGTTAACAAGCAGCAATTAACACCTACAAAACTACAGACCAAGAAGAGGAAAGAATCAATACAGAGGCAGGAACTCCCTGAAACTTCACTGTTAAAAGTAGGGAAGCCCCGGTTTGAAATAATCAACCCTGGAAACAGACCCTTGAGGCTGAAATGCCCCCTGATCAACCACTTCCAGAGCTCTATTCATCATGGCAGTGAATCAATCACATTCATCAACGGACTCCCAAGACTGCACGTACCTGCGGATGTGACCCCTGGGGCTGACAGCTGCCATCCAGCAGTTATTAAGAGGGACGCCCCTAGAGGTCAACGACCTGTGGATTGGGTAAGCCCAAGAATTGGGGAGTCACCAAAGTCTGCCAGAGAGGGATAAAAGGTAGCAAAGAATTACCCCCAATGGCACCCTCTTTGACCTGACCAGCACCCTGCCTGTCCAGCCAGAAGGACCAGCCGTTGACCCCCTTCTGAAGCAACATCGCACTGAAAGAAGCCTCCACTGGCCATTGACGGCAGACTCCAGCGCTTGGGGATAGGTATATCTTGACACTGGTGCTTAGTGTTCATAGCTAGCTACTGTGAGTGTGTGTGTGTGTGTGTGTGTGTGTGTGTGTGTGTGTGTGTGTTTGAGGGGATCAGCACCAAGGTTTATGGTCTGACTTTTGCATCCATCCAATAAACTAGAATTTTATGATGATCCTGTGAGTTGGTCCTTTGTAACCAACACAACATAGAGTTTAACACATTTGCAGGCATTGGAAAGTCAGACCAGATTGTTTTACACATTGTGATGAACAATATCATAGCATGTATTTAAATGCACACTGACTGGGATAAGTGAAGGGAGGGCTCAGGATGCAAGAAATCCAGGGTCCTGGGTTTGTTTTGTTTGCCTCATGTAACCAAGAAACCGGGCTTTAAACCTACTGCAGCATTTATCTTGGAGGGTGGTAATCTATTTTCTATTAAAAGGCTATTCTGGAAACAATTAATATATGTGCACTGGGGCAGTAATGTGTTTCAAAAGTTCTAGGGCTGTTGAAATATCCACATTTTAATTGATATTGCTATGGCACAGGTTGAAGCATGTTTAACTTTCCTGTGAATATATCTTCTGCACTGTGCTCTTCCTCACTTTTAATACCATGTGACCAAGGGATTTTTTTTTCTAGTGCCACTTATCTCTTTGCAGTTTAATACACTGAGAATAGGGCTCAAATTTCCCCTCAAGGTTAATGGGAACAACTTTGCCTACCAGCCTGAAATATGACCCTATTCTAGGGCTATCCTATCATCCTGTCCTTTTAAATTCTCTCCCTTTCTCTTATTTTTTATCTAAGTCCATGAAGACAATGTTTATTTTTCTAGACTTCACCTCTAATATTTTCATTTTTGTAGCTAAAACACTGAAAATGAACCCACAGCTGGAAACTAAGCTATGGTTCACATAACCTTCTTCCTCATAATCTAAAATCAATTAGATCTTAATTTGCACTCATTGGAAATAAAATAAGCATTTGCTTAATGCCAAGAAATGTAAGAATCCAAGGACATTTTCTATGAATGCTTTCTTGTTTAAGACTTGAATAGGTGAGTACTGCTGGTAATGTTCCTTCAAAAAGCTCCAGCTTCCCACTGCAAGTAGTAGCACATTTTGGCCTATTTATGTTAACAATGAACTAGACCAAAGCTAATGAGCAGGTTATTTTAGGGCCTTGGAAACTGCAGTAAGGGGGGAAAAAATGACAGTTTCCCACAATATTGAAATATCATGAAAATAGAACAGCTCTGACCAACCTCAACATGAAAAGCAAAAACTGAACAGACTGATGAACCCACTTCCAGGCATTTGGTTGACTCATTAGCATGTCCAGCCTCTTCTCAAGCATGGCTGCAGCAGAAAGCTGCTGCAGAAAAGATTCCATTAAAGAAAAAAAACCCCATGAAGTAACAGATTTCTTCCTGGTCCTAGCTTCAGATGCTCAGAGTACCAAGAAACATTGTGCTTTTTCATGTTTTGAAAAACTCTACAAACTCTACAAATGAGCTGCTTCATAAAATAAACAAAATGAACACAAACCTCTAGTGTCCAGCCTGACAGTTCCTTCATAAAAAACTTTTAGGAACTGAGAAAGGAAAGTTAACATTTTCATTAGTGTAAATTTCATTACCCAATGCAGCTCCTTAACCAGAATCCTGTGCACTAGCAGAGTAGCATTAGGTTGAATTTGACATGTAATCTTTCTGCTCTGTAGCATCTGCTGAATTCATAAAGAAATTGTTAACTAAATTAATTTAATAATAGTAGTTTCTATAACTTTAGTAGGAAAACTAATTGACAGTGATGCTACACATATAGATATTGTACAATGAAGGAAGGATATTATTAAAAAAAAAGTCTGGCCAACAAACTAGCATTGTTTCAGAACTTGCTTAATAATTCAGTACTAGAATCTTAAAGGTTTTAATTTTAGCCATTTTCTTCATTTATTAAACAAGTGATCAGATTTAGAAAAATTACTGAGGAGCTAAAAGCAAGGGTTTTGATCAGACCTTTTGGGGAAGATGTTGAATCTAACAGATTTAAGAATCTTTTGAACAGGAGGCTTGGTTTTGCATTTTTATCATTGAGCAGAATAAGCTTTATGAATGTGCACCACAGACTATTGAAATCCAGTGTGTATGACCTCAATTAACTTGGCACTTGCAGTGTGAAACAGTTCTGCACTATTACTCAGCATGGCTGGGTCTTGCCCTTTAATAAGATAGTTTGATGTGTTAAATATTATTTAAAGAATTATGCAAATGTTTAGTACTTGGCATTCTCCCACCCTCTTGGCACTTCCCACTGTCTATCCTAATCCAAGCATCTCTAATGGCTATTCTCAGTTCTGTTTTACTTTGAAATACTGGAGTGATCGTAGGCAGCATTCTTTTCAAACAACAGTGATAGGAGAGATGTGACTAATAACAAGAGGTGCTGTATAAAGATGGCTCAGAATATTTGTTAAATTATGTATCAGATAATAAAGAAGCTGATTGTGAGAGCAGAATTCTTGAGTGTAGGACCATATCTTTGCAAATCTCCTTAAAGTATTTTCAGATTAAGCAACATCAATGTTGCTCCTGCATCACAGGTATCACAGTACATCACTGGTAAGGCTAAAAGAGTAAGTGCTGTTAGTAGATATGTGTAGGGGCACTGGCTAGCACAGCTCTAAAGGACTGTATTTTCGATAATACTTTTAGAGAGAATCGTAGTTAGCAAGAAACATATGGTTGTTCATAGACATTCATAAATCATAAAAGAGAAAAGATTTTATATATTCTAATATTATAAAAGCCTAAGTCTGTCTGTCTGTTTGTCCATAATGCTTTATTCATGCTCTGACTGGCTGACAAGTAGCCAATCAGAGTGTGAACAAGCATTCCAACAGGAGCTGGCAGGCAGTGGAGTGCCACCATGATGGTGAGGACACAGGGGACAGAGGCCAGGGGTAGGCCAGCACAGCTGGTCCCACCCTGCTTCCTGGAGGCGGGGGCAATGGAGCGGACAGAACCCTGCTCCCTATAAATTTGATATAATATTCCAGGCATAGAATCTAACATTGGAGGTGTGTTTTGAATTAGTCTTGAACCTCAACTTCTTCCCCCTCAACCTCTTCCCCCCTGCAGCTCCTCTCCTTCCCACCCTCCCCACTTTACTGTCAGACCCTGCTCTCCCTGAGCTCATAGAAGGGAGGAACTAACTTGAAAAAAATAACCTTGAAATAAACATAGCTGTAGTAATTTGCATATAGTACCCATAGATTTAGTACATCCAAAATTGATGTATTTCACCTTTTTTGAAACTGTTGCAAGTTTTAGCACTGATATTTCATAAACACACTTTTAAGTAACATATTGGCACCTACTTATATATAGCACAAACTATGCATGAAATTTATCCAAAGCCAAAAGTTCATTACCATGTAGTTCACTGGGCTAGGCCCCACCAGTCGACAGCTTTTCCAGCCATGATGACCCCACAGCTCAGTACTGCTCATGATGTGTGTGCACTCCAGGCATACCCCCCAAAGGATACATGTGCTAATTACCCCCCTCCCCTGACCTGGAACTGGGTGTTCTTGTCATGTGTCCTGGGATCCTCCAAAAATGTATATGCAGATGAGCCACAGGGCAGCCTGGTCTGGCTCTACCTTTTGGAGGGGAGGGCCACACTAATTATATACATCAGGCTGAGAGAGAGGATGACAGTGATTCTGGATGAACTGTTTGGGGCCCAGTTTGGTGATGTTTTAAGGCTGGCGAAGAACCAGCAATCATTGGACATGGGAAAGAAAGGTGCAGCTCAGGTATGGGAGTGAAGAAGAAGTCAAAATGTATTCAGTGTCATGGTTCTTTTGAAAAAAGTAGGTACTGAAGGGGACTGCACTCAATGGACATTACCATATAACTTATTCAAATGAGTTGCACTATCCTATCCTTGTGGTAGGTTCCCATTAACATGTTTGCCAAATGTGGGCCAAGTATTTTATAGTCATGTTCAGTGTTGACTACATTTAATCAGCTTCATAGTGAGTTTCCATTACTGAGCACATGCTGCTTTTAGTAGCAGTTTAAAGACAGACAGTAGATTTAGTGAGGTCTCACTGTCTACAAATTTAAGATGAGGCTCTTTTTGCTCCATGGTAGTTGGGTAAAAAACTCATCTTGTATTTGAGTAAATACAGTATGTCATCTGTTCTTACCCTTAATTTAAGAACATTACACAAAAAATGTATAAAACTGTATAAATATGTAACTTGATGCCTGGATCATCATACTTAATGAATAGTCATTAATAGCTAGTTTAGAGGAGGTATCAAGCAGAGTTTCAGAGGGGTCTATCCTGGGTCTGGTATTTTGTAACATCATAAATGATTTGGATGATGGGACAGTGCATGCTTAGCAAACTTGCAGATGACACCAAATTGGGTAGAGTTGCAGGCACTTTGGAGGGTAAGGCTGGGATGTAGAATGATGTGGATTGACTGGAGAAATGTTCTGAACCAATCAGATGAAATCCAACAACAAAATCAAGTACTAGTTCCTGCACTTGGAATATAATAATTGCACACACAAATACAGATTGGGGAATTATTGGCTAAAATGAGGTACTGTAGAAAAGGACCTGGGGATTACAGTGTACCATTAACTGAATATGAGATAACACAGTGTGCTGTTATTGCAAAAATAAAGACAACAGCATGGGGGGTAGGGGGTGGTTGTACTTAATAGGAATGTCTCTTGCACACAGAAGAGAAGCCTGAGAGGGATCTAACTTTGCTAATAAGCTTTTAATTGTGTATTTTCATCATATTCTCCTTTATACTACAGAATAAATATAGAACACACAAAAAACCTGTTCTTACAGTCATTATTCAGGTAAAACCCCTTTTAATCTTAGCAGGTGTTTTGCTTGAGCAAAGGCACAAGGATTGGGCTTGAAGCCTTGATATTTGATTTAAAGAAGCTCCATGTGGAAAACATCAGATTTCCTAAATGTTAGTGCAGCGATCAGCCCCTTTCCAGTTTAAAGTCTTGTTATGTTTCATAATTCTTGTGAACATTGATATTTCACTCTTTTTTTTTATTCTAAACCAATATGAGCAAGAAGCCAGCAAATATTGGAATGCATTTTGCAAGACTTATAAAATAACTTTTTCAAGAATCGTAATTGGCTGTTTCTGGAGTTTCCAGAAATTCTTCCACAAGCAAAGAGAAATTGAATGGAAACAGAGGGAAAAGATCAAGATCATGTCAGCATGAATGCTGTAAGCCATGCCATATCTGCAATTATTCCTGGAATGTTGGAAGAAGACAAATATTCTTGCCAGAACAGTTCAGAGGACTGTTTTACTTCTGTCCAAGGATGTACATACACCAAAAGACAAATGGAATCTGTTGTTGATAAGCATCACATGAACTCTGAAAAAGAACCTGGGAAGCTAGAATCTTTCCCTGGTAGCAATGCTACTTACAGAATACTAGAGGTACTGCACTGCAAACTTCTCGCATGTAATCTACAGTTTGAAGCGATTGCTTAAAATGTAGTAATGCTAGGAAGTAATTTTTCAGTCAATAACTACTGACCATTCACAATACCAGCTTTAACTTCTGGCTAGAATTTTCAGAGGAACCTAAAGAAAACAGGTCTTAGATCTCCAAAGGTATTTAGATACCTAATTCTACTGGGAGTTAGGTACTTAAATACTGTTGAGGATCTAGGATTTGCCCAGTTTCCAATTAAAGTCATTGGGAGGTGGACTTCTAATTCCTTAAGAATTTTGCAGCTGAATATACTTTTGTTCTGTATAAGCTAGTGTCTTGTTCCAGAACAGCAAAATTGTACAAAAAAGCTGTATTTTCCTGTGTAGCTGCTTCTGAGAGGTGACTGGTCCAGCTACTGAGAAGTTAGGCCCTGATCCTGGACCCTAGGGCCCATGTTTTGAGTGTTGGGGTGTTCAGCAAAACAAAGCCTCTTCTCCCTGTTTTAAACTTTTATAATGCTTTTGCTTGATTTTGAACAAAAAATCTGAGTTAAGCCTTATTTGTTGTTTGTTTATTTTTGTTTGTTTCTACTTCAATTCCAGGTTGGTTGTGGTGCTGGAAACAGTGTATTTCCTATTTTGAAGGCTCTACGATAAGCTGTGCCAGCCACACCCCTTCCTCCAAATCCATACCCTATGCCAGGACTGTCCAACTGGTAGCCTGGGAGGGGTTAAATTGGGGCCTGCAGGGCTTGTCTGTACACTGATTTGGTACAGCTCTGGAACCCAGGGGTTCAGAGCTGCCGTTCACCCCCTCACCTCCTTGCTTGCCACCAAATTCAGGGTCTTTAGTCACTGCTAGCAACTCGACTAGCAGGGAAAAGGGGGGCACTAGCAGTGGCAGTGTTCGGCTCTGGGTGCTATATCTGTGCCCAGGGTGCAGCTCCAGGAGCCTCTCTGACAGGCAACTGCTGGGGGTGGGTTTTCCAATCTGCAAGAAGCCTTGAAGATCAGATCTGGCCTGCAAGGCAATTAAGTGGGACAGCCCTGCCTTATGTTAACTAAACAGAAGTATTAAGCTAGTCTGCTCCTGAAAAAAATGCTGACTTGATTGCTGTAGGTACCAGGAAATTTTACTTACAGAATGCAGGACAGTGTTGATAGGTGCAGTGTACAATGTTCCCCATGAAGTTCCTCAGGACTGTCCTAGAACCAGTGAGCAGGAGTATTTTATGAAGGTAGTTGTTTTTGGTTTTGTTTTTTTTTTTTCTCCATAAGGCACCCACTGTTATCACACAAGTTACCAAATAGCCACCAAACAGAATCTGGGGTCACATTCACTGGTGACATGAATGGCAGTGCCATGCACATTGCAAGATGTTGTGAGTGCTATCCCTGACCACTTGCATCACTTCTGAACTTCACTATTGTCTATCAAATGGAATCAGCTTGTAGTAATGTGAAGAGAAGTTTCGTGTTGCATTACTTAATCCCTTGAGCCATGCCATCCCATCTGCTTAGCAGCTTCTGTTTTAGGAGGTAAGCACATTTTCTTTGCCATGTATGTGGTTAGTATTTATTGGAAGAGCTGTGCACAGATCAGAGGAAAGAAGAGACTTCTTTCAACTCTTTTCTCCAAAAGCTAGTATTGGTTCTACAGACAAATACTAATAGTTTCCATTTCCATACTGACTTTCATCCTCAATGCAAATTCTATGTTAGGCTTACAACATCCGTTTTATAGAAGCACACCATTATCCAGACATGGAAACTGAGGCATAGAGAGAATTAAGTGCCCTGCCAAGAGTACACAGGCAGTGGGTTTAAGTGTTTGGAATGGTATATAGGTCTCACTACCAGACCAAACATTTTTTATCCCTTAAACACCATGTAATGAAAGAAGAAACTTTTGTTACTAGGGAAAACAAAGTATGAGAGAAACACATTGGGTACATATATGAGGAAAAACCCAAACTGATATTTAGTAAACAAGAGATGTTTTTAATGCAAGAGTTCTTGTAATTATGAATCTTATTGGTCAATATTTTAGTTGGTGATTTCAGTTTATATGCAAATCATACATGTGACCAGATAGGTGCATTGAAACACCTTACCTCACAGCCTTTCCTGCACTGCCCAGATCAAACCTAACAACCTTACCTATTCAAAGGCATGTGTACTTATATCTAAGTAGAACTTAGGCTATATTTGGTATCATAAAAATTGCCTTTTGTCTACATACAAGAAAGTGGGTAGAAACAGCTGGGATCATATTCTGGTTGAAAGAAAAAATTCATCTCCTTGGGAATATGGATGTATATGTTTTTATGATCCAAAATTAAAAATAAAAGCAATGGTTCTTTACACAGATATTGCTTCTTTAATATAAATCAACCGTGGGATAACCATCCAGACCAGATTTATGCCTGTTATTTGACTGGAAACTTTTCATTAAGGTCTCTTCCTGATTTCTCTGATCATCTGTTTATACATCCTAATGACTGAGTCATTTAGGTAACTAGGTCAGTCAGTTCTGATGGGCACACCCCCCTCTCTGCCACCCAAAGCCAGCCCAGGCTTCTAGATCAGGGGCAAAGCCCAAGTTCGCTCCCACTATCAGACCCTAGCCATTCAATCCCTCCTGCTCTCTGGTTCTCCATGGCCCTGACTCACATCTAGTTCTGCTCCTAAGAGAGGGTCTTTACCTCTTTTGGGGATGCCCAGTGCAACCTGAAGTTTCAAGCAGCAAACAGACAGCTCTACTTCAGTGAAGACATTTACTGAACTGACAGAAACAACCAATCAGAGCGCGAATACAGCATTTGGACAGGAGGTGGTGGAGCACTGTCATGATGATGGGGACACAGGGGGTGGGGGACGAGGCCAGCTGTGCTAGCCTCACCTCCCCTGCCCTGCTCCCTGGAGGTGGCACCCACCCCATCCTTGCTCCTTGGAGGTAGTGGCAGCAGCACAGGGGGGAGCGGGGTTGAGACGCTTTTGTGGGGGGGGCAAGGCCAGCACCCTTTTCCTTCCCCCCAGGCCCGCTTCCTGCAGGCATTAAATACGAAAGGGTGGGGCTGAGGCCAGCACTGCAGGCCTTGCCCCGTCTCTCTCTCCTGCAGTGCTCCCTCTCAATGCTGGGGGGAACAGCAGGGCCGGGCCGACATGGCGGCGGGAGAGGGGAGGAGCAGGCCTGGGAGGGGGGGGGGTGGCGGTGGGCGCGCCGGGTCCAGCTTGGCCCCGAAATGGAGGGTGGGGGGGAGTGGCCTGGCCCAGCCCTCAAACGACGGTGGAGAAGATGGGGGGTGGGCCCGGTACTGGGCCCATTATGGCGGAGGAGGGGTGGGGGCATGCCGATCCCAGCCTGGCCCCAAAATGGAGGGTATGGGGGAGGAACACTGGGCACAGCCTGGCCCCAACTGGGGCGGTTGGGTAGGCCCAGCCCCAAAACAGTGGCTGGGAGGGTGCTGGGGCCAGGCTTGGTCCCACAGTGGAGTGCGGGAAAGGGTGAGCAGGCCTGGTCTCGATGGTGGTGGGGGGAGCCGGATGCAGGTTTCTGACCCTGCCTGCACCCCACATCCATCATTCTTGATGGGCAATTGGCTAGTATTAACAATAAACCCACATGGTCACCCAAGGTCAATCAGAAATTCAGCTGCTTGCCCTCACCCATGCTAGATCTTGATTTCACAATCCCTGGGCTTATCTGGTTAGTAGTTGCAAAACTGATAAAGGTTTTGTTCTGGATGGGATGTTTTAGGTCCAAAAGAGTTTTCCTATTGATTCTTTATACACAGCCTCTACTAAACTGTATAATTTGGAAGATCTGTTGGGCAGAGGCACAAGTTCACTTCATTCTTTTGCCATAACATCCTGTCCAAAATCCATAGCACTTTAGGAGAAATTAATGAATTTTCTGAGGGCTAATCCTCTTTGTGCAGTAGCTTAGCTTCTGTTCTGCTCACCTTTTCTTATGCTGGTTGTGAAAGAGTTGATAAAACTGTGTCACTTGCATTGTTTGGTGTGAGGGAAAAGCTGGCTTTGCAGTGGATGTGAAGAGAAAGGGTAGCAACATTACAGGAAAATAACATGTATTTGATTAAGAAGGCAATAGGTGATGGAAGGAAACAATCCAAGCCACACAGTCAGATCAAACCCAGCACAATTGATACCTGGGAATCAGGATACCTAGACCTTTTCAGAACTGTTGATAAGTAATTATCTTAATTGCAGGAAAAATAAATGTTTTTCCTGTTACTGATTATATGACATGAATGGGCCAGTGCTAGAGAATCTTAGTGGAGCTGCAGAGAGCCACAAAACAACCTCACAGTAAAATTTTGACCTGTTGTCATAATGCAGTATCAGGGTACCATCACAACTACTTATGGCTCTCTGACTCCATCCAACACCATCTTCTGTCTCTTCCTGGCCACTTCTTCCCTGGCTATTGGGCAGTGCAGGAAAGTCTGAGAGTCTCCTCTACTTCACCAGTAGTTGGCAAGTATTCTTTCAGATCTGACTCATTTGCTCAGTGTACCCAGTGCTGCCTTGCAGAGTCCCCCAAGAAGCCTTGTTCTGTTCTGTGACCATCAACATAGACTCTTATCCTTTACAATAGCAATTCCTTAATCACTGTTTATTTTGTGTTCCTAGTGATACACCTGGGGGCTTTCTGTACTGTTGTGATTTTGCTTCAGGAGCAGTGGAGTTGGTAAAGGTATTTAATGTGTTCATTTTTGAGTGTGTGGTGTACCCCATAAGCCTGGAATACAGAAGGCTACAAGAAAACTATCCTTTTGAAATGGGGTATTATGGTTCTGACAACACTGGAGTTTTCAGTACTCCAAAGAACAAAGTCTTGCTCTGCCTGGAGAGAATGAATGCTGTCAGTAAGCCTGTCTCGCAGCTTGAACAAGATCCCAGAACAGAATCAGCTTTATGTGAAATGTTTTACAAAATGGAATAATTGAAAAAACGTTTCTTGAGTCATGCTAAATGTATTAACCACTGCTATTCTCTTGGTGCTTCTCTTAATCTTTATCCTGACAGTCACACTCATCCTACAATCCAGCCTGGTGTTCTGCCTTTGTTCATGATGTGTGTGATGATGCTTTACCCTGCCCTTTTCCAGATGAGATCTTGGATGTCATTCTTCTTGTCTTTGTGCTCTCTGCTATTCATCCTGACAGGTAAATGAAGACTGAAGGGCAAAGCAAATGGGTTAAAGCTCTTTTATCACTAGTGGTTTTCAAGACTATCAAAGCAAGATGATGAATCTTGAATTTATTATTTAGCATGCTATATTTTGCATAATACAGGGCATTTTAAATGCCATTTCCCCTTTTCAGATGTGTGAGAGAAGCTGGTCAAACTACTTCATTAGTGAGGCTCCTGTCACCATCAAAATGAAATGAGTGAATTCTAGTAAGACACATACCTATTAAAAGTGACAGTGCTTCAAGAAAATTACAAATTCAGGAACAGACTGCTAGTCTCCCAGAGGGAAATTACTCTTAGTGATCATAAAACAAACATCCTTGATTTAGCATCTTACAACATGTTGATAAAGGTCTGGGGTGCTGATTTAGTTACACACAAGTGCATATGTGCTGGCCTCTTAAAAATAAATTAATTTAAGAGTATGTGGTTTGTTTGGATTAAGCACATTTAATCTACTTTTCGTGCACAATATTATGTTGAAAGCTCTCAGCTTTGCTATTAAAGCCATGTTCAGTATCTAATGAACCACCTTTTTTGTTTCTAAATCTGACTAATTTTGAAAATATCTTCTATGGGGAAAATACCAAAGGGTATATGTAATTCATACTCACCAGTTCAATACTGCAATTCAATTCCTCATTTATCCAGACTGTACAAAAGGAAATGCATCTTGTACCTATAATGGTAGGATTTTTGCTTTACGAACTGCATTGCAAATGGACTTCCATGTACTCCACAAACAATAGAACAGTATTCACCTCTTTTTTTTTTTTACATTTGAGAACTATTTCCTTGCCTGAGTGGTTGAGTTATTAATGATTAGTTTTTTGCTGAAAAAGATCTTCCTATATAGGATATCTCTCCTTCCTGTTTGTGCAAAGATGAGCACAAGTTATGTGCAGAAGAGTGTTTTGCAAAGCCTGGGTGCATATTCCAAACACAATTCAAACAGAGGATTCACATCTACATGAGTGCAGTGGGCAAGGTTTTAGATCAAATATATTTTATTGCACCTTTTTGCCACTAGAAAGAATAACTGAATGTTCAGTCAGAATTCCTGGGGACTGCCTCACATTAACCCTTTGAGTATAAGGGGTTTTCCCCCCTGAAGTTTAGGAGCCAGAAGACATCTCTTTGTGTAGTAATCTTTGTAGTGTAATGCAGTCTCCAAAGGTTTATGTATTAAAATCAGGGGTGTTAAGTATATGGATTTCAGGAAGAATCCAGCCTGCAGAGCCATGTCATTTGATCTGTGGGGCTCCTGGAAGGGCCAGGAATTTTGGGGTAGGGTGAGCAGGGGGAGAGCCTGCCACTGAACTCTAGGGTACAGAGCCCTGTTGGGGAAGCTTTTCAACAGCAGAGAGGCGAGAAATAGCTGAGTTAATCCCTGCTGCTCCCTGAGATGACACAGCAGTTAATGCCACTGCCAATTGCCCTGCTACCAGAAGTGGGTCTGGATCGAGCCCATAAGCAGCACTATGAGCCAGACGGGTTTGACATACATGTACTAAAAGATACCAGATTCATTATAGGCATCATGTAGAAGTCAAGTGATAGCATAAAGAAAACTGTAATCTAGACCCTTGCTTTTAAGAGCTCTTAATAGAAACTGTCTAGAAGTATGAAATCTGAGAGATGGCAAAGAAAACACAGAGAATGATAGTTAAGAGGCTCAAATAAATGAATCTGGATATTTGCAAAGGTCAATTCCTCAGGTGTTTATTGTATTTACTACCTTAGAAACCATCAGGTAATATTTTGCTGTTAGGCCTCTGTGTTCTCCTTTTTTCAGTTGCTCATCTTGGATTTTGAGAAACAACATTCTGCTAGCAGCCCCCTCTGTTGAAGTTGGTCTCAAAACCAAGTGATAATTTGGAAGGTGTCAAACTTCTTTGTGCCCTGTATTGAATGTGCAATTACTGGGTCATATTTTTCAGAACGTTTCCATTTTGTACATATATGTGTAAGTTTTGTCCAGATTTCCTTGTAAATGCCCAAAAGACATATTCGCCTATGCAGAGTCTTTATTTTTGTGCCTAACTCTCTTTTCTGACTACTATTTTTGTCTATTCTGACTACCATTATTGCTAGGGCAGAAATACTGGGACCGGCTGTGTGTGTTCAAACAGGTCTTTTAAATTTTTGATTTCTAAGGAAATCCCATGCTTAAGTTAAAAATAAAAGAACAAATTCTCTTTTTTACATGCTTCCTTTTGGCTCATAATTTTCTTTTTCTCCTGAGATACCTCCTAAAAGTCAGAAATAGTCAGCACCTTCAAGATTAGTGGGAGTAAGTTGGAATTCTTCAGTGTTGCTATTCAGGGGCTAGTTTGTGCCATTAGGTATAGCCCCAGGCAAGCATCAGTGCATGAGTTGCAACACTGTAGAAGGAGCCCCAAGAGGGATTGTGCTTCAGATGTCTTCTGTACTCACCCCTTGTGTTCAAGAAGGCTTTATTATACCACAGTTGTTTAGGGTGACACTGAGTTCCCCCCACCTCCCACCAATATGTCCAGATTGGTTTCTTCTACTGGATTCCCCTTCACAAGTGCAGTTTAGTCTCCCTTCCATTCCCAGAGGATAGACACACACATAGCACAATTATATGCCTTGTCTGAACACCTAGATAGAGAGATTAGCTGGATATCTAGATACAGAGATTTGATGGATTCCCATCTGCCTTCCTCTTCCTTTACCGCTTCAGTCTTTTATCTTCCTACCTAGAAAGATGGCCTGATCCACTCCATCCAGTCAGGTAGACGGTTGTTTATTTCACTGTACATCACATTTCTGCCTGCTGCTTTGCCTCTAACTTACTCCAGCCTTCTAACCATAGAGGTCCAGATCTCAAGAACCCTACATTAATCCATCCTTTAACTTTTGTTTAAGAGGAGGAAAGAACTTGATTCCTCTCTCCATCATGTTTAAATTTGTGTCCCTTTGCACCCTCATTTGTGAATCTCTCTTGTTTTTTGTACTGAGGCTGTTAGCATCTAGCATGTTTAGGAGATTCTTTACGCTGAGGCCTCAGAAACCTACATCTTGGACCAAGCAGCTAAATAAAGCAGGTATCTTTGGAATTTCACCAGTATCATATTTGTTTTTGAAGATTACAAGGAGTTGTAAATAGACTGACTAAATTACTGAAACCTGGAGGGATGTTGTTATTTCAAGACTATGGAAGATATGATACAACACAGCTTTCTTTAAAAATGGTATTGTCTAGAGATTTCTTTTAGTTCAGCATTTGTTCTTCAGCTTGTTTATATCTCTTAAACCACAGTCCTTCTTTTTACATTTTTTTTTGTCTCTTAGGCCACTGTTGGTCAGAGAATTTTAATGTCCAAGGAGATGGTACCAGAGCTTATTTATTTACCAAAGGTATGATGCAAAAGCAACAAAAATGAATTTTGGTTTTATAGGAGAGTACTAAGTGTCTCTTGAGATTGTTAGGGTTGCTAAAGTTCTTACTTAAAAGACTTGTAATTCTCATAGACCCCCTTCTTTGATTTTCCCTTTTTTCACAAACTTGAAATGTATGTTTTTAAAGAACCTTACAGAAGGAAGATTTCACTTTACTTCCCCAGCTTTGTTCTGCTGAAGCTGAAGATATAGTCTGGCTATTTTTATTTAACAGCCATAGTGTTTATTTGCTCTGCATAAATATTGTCTCTGAACCAGCATCATTGCTCTATAGCTATTCAGCTCTCATAGAGTCAGCAGAAAGAGCATAAACTGATCTTGTGGAACCCATAAAAGTATCTAGTCCATTTTTATTTTTATTTTTTAGATTTGCGAAACATGGATTGATTTTTGTTTAAGCAAGAAATAGGTCTAAAGTTGTTATAGCGGTTTTGACTGACTTTGGGCCCAATTTTGACTGTACTTCAATTTTGCACAAGACTAACTGCCATGCATACTGTTAACAAAGGCATGAGATCAAAATCAGGTCTCTAAAAATATTTTCTTAACTAAATGGCCTTTAGGGGCTGATTGTGCCTTTGGGGTCTGTTTGTAGAACAGGTCTTTTTGTTATACAAGTACAGTCCTAGGTCCTGCTG